GATGTTTATCGCGACTATATTACATCAAACTGTGGCTTGGCGCCGTAACATGATATCAATAGTTATGATAAATATCATCCTGATTACAATATCTCATTGATTATTCACTAAGTCTTATTGTAATGAAGTGTATATACAGTATATATGAAGTTTTTAAAATAAAATATCTATTACTGTATAGTACACGAGTTGCATACTTGTAATATATAAAGTAAAATAAAGAAATATACGAATTAGGTCTACATATTCTCAAATTCTAAAATGTCTCAGATAGACAAAGAATAATATGATGTTTTAAAATAAAAATTAACAAATATTTTAATTGAGGCACAATTTCGTTGTGCTCTGGTCTACATAATGTGAGTTCATGTTAATAAGTAATAATGGTTGTAATTAATCTTTAATTCTATGAGGGAGAACTCAACGAATTAAGAGGATAAATTACAATCATTACAACATTAAAACTTGAAACAAAAAATAAGTATCATCCAAAATATTTACGAAAACGCGCGCGCACATATTGTATAAACATATAATTTCTATGGGAGCATTTTCTGCTATTTTCATTCTGTCTTCTATTCTTCTATTCTATATACCCACGCGTGTACCAAAAGTCAGGCGCAATCTCTTAAACAAGTTAATAACAAATTAGATTAAAAAATAAAAAAATTAAATTAGCCATTTGATAGTATACAGTCTAAGCTATTTTCCTACATGTTTGTCATTCTTTTCTAAACATTTTTTTTAGGGGGAGAGAAGGGCAAATATTTCTTTCTTAAAAATTCCCCACTTAATGATTTGAAAAAGTCCATAACTGCATCTTTAACTTCATCATAATCATCTGAGAAGTGCAAGCCTCCAAGATGTTTCATAAGAGGTCCAAAAAGGTAAAAACTCAGAGGTATTAAGTCCGGATATGTGCAGCATCGGACGCCTGTTGCACGATAAATGTAAATGTAATTTCTCATACTTCACATCAGATTTCAGACTGACTAAGAAAAAAAAAAAATGGATGGGAAGTAATAGACCATCCTTGCTTCTTGCATCCTTGACTTCTGGGACTTGCCTTGTATTTTATTTTATGTGAACATTTTAGACTCTAAAATAGGCAATATATTACTCATATGCCATACAACACAACAACATACTGTACAACACACTCAAAAAACATACATACACATTAAAAACAATGATAAACCATTCACTAGCTGTCGCCATATAACATAACATATAATGCTTATCATCTAAAATTTTGCAAAATTAAAAATATAATTTGTTTTTATAACGACGTTACCATTCCTTCCAAAATTATGCATAAAAACTATATTATTAACATAATTCTAAATTATTTTGAATTTTGAATTGATGCTTATCATATAATATCATATATTATGCTTAATTTTATGTTAATCATAAATGTATATTTTTTGAAAAGCTGATTTAGTTATAGATTATACAAAGTTGCTATTCATTTATCAAAAAATAATTGAATTAATGTTTATAAATAAAATATATTACAGGCAATAAATTTAAAACATATAAAATGTTTTTACTTAAATTTCGAAAATTATTTGCAAACTAAAATTGAAAATTTCAGCTTAAATTGAGTGAAATTAGTATTTATCATGTTATAAATCTTATACCAAGAGCAACATATTTGGATCGACAAAACAGGTATGAGTCCAAAGAAAGGAAGAGCGGCGATTGTCCTTAAGTCAATTAACGAATATTTGCAATTCGAAAGTAGAAAAGCGCAAGATATCAAACGCAGAAATAATTTTTTGCATCTTTTATCTATAATTTTTTTTAATGTCAAGGACGCAAACTAAATTAGTTCAAGATTTTTTATATTTTCTAAAATAAATCGTCCTCTATAGAAATTTCCTTCTTCCTCACCTGAAAATAAATCAATAAAAATTGCACTTAACGTAATCTTTAGTAACTTTTATACAATACTAGTTGCGAATTGCCTGTTTTATTGAGTGACCAAAAATAACTTATCATACATTTGAATATCTGAAATGATATTCAGATTAGTACTGTTGATTTACATCCTTATCTTGCAGAGCAACTGCATTTGGAGTGTTGTAAACGAAAAATAAAACATAATAGTTAGCTCCAAAGTTCAGAAGCTGAATTCAAAATTTGCATAAATTGCAGTTATATTAACTTCATAGAAAATTTAATATTATTATTGATTTTTTGAGGAGTAAAANCTATGGAATTACATGCATTGTATTTTTCCTGTTTTAACTGTAATAAAAGAAGAAGAAGAAGAAAGAAGGAAAAAAAAAACAGGGAAATAAAAGAAATGGTTACCCTAATTCTAAATTATGTTAAATATCCATCAATGTTTTATTCCTTCATGCGCTGTTTGTAAAATGCTGCTTGCTCATGAAGGGATAAAAGCCGGAAAACTTTAAAAATCTATACAGCATGAAAAATAAATCAGCAAAACGTAATATAAATCAGCTCAAAGTAATTCTTTGAGCTGATTTATATTAATTTCTTTCAACATAATTTCTGTTTAATTAACGTGTGAAAATTTTGCACTATTACTACAAGTGTGAAATTGTCATTGTAGACCTAATTCTATAGTGTAACAGAGTAGAATTACATTTGATTATACAGTAAATTTATTCTTGTTCTAAATTATATGTTTTTTTTTAATCATTAAAATATAAGTAGGCCCTATATAGAAATATAGGTTTATGAAAGTAGGACTCATATTTTTCTTTTTCTTGGAAATTTTTATTGATAATTTTATACGTATTTGAGTTTATCAAATTTTAAAATAATTTTTATTATACTGTATTATAAAAATTCTAATATTAGTACTGATATACTAAACGAATCAATAAAAAAATTAATTAAATTATATAGAAATTTATAATTTTATAAGTAAAAATGCTTGTTGTTATTGTAACAAATTTGAATTTACAACATTTAATTTGTTATGAGCTTGTAAGAAAATTAAAGTTTTTGAATAGAGTTACAATTTACAATAGTATTTATTACACTTAATATGTAATAATATATATATATATATATTTGTAACTAAAAATACTTAATGTATCTGTAAATATGTTATAATAAATATATAATTTGCATGTAAATGCTTTGAAATATGACAAAAACTTTAGCAATTTTTCATAACATGGAATTTACATTTACAAAATATATTACACAGCAATAAATAGATTTTAATAACTTAATTTATTTTTGTAAGTGCTTATGTAACAATTATCCCTCAAAGGGTTATTAACTTTGCTAAGAAGCAATTTTTGATATTATTATTTTATTTTAAATATTATAGATATTTTTAATGAGCGCAAAATATATATACATTCATGTTATATTAATGCAATTTTTAATGAATTATGATTCCTTATCACGAAAAAATTTAATAAATTCATAAATTAAAACATTTTATTAAATTTTGACGAGTTGCATTTGTTAAGAAGCGTTGTTTCGAGAGGAAGCATAATTTAGGGATTAAAAAAGTTCGCATTAATTCTATATAAATATATATTTTTTTAAATTAAAAATGTTTATGTAAATATATTGTAATTAATTATAAATAAAAATGAGGTATATTCGATTTCAACCTATTTATTATTATTTTTTAAACAAAGGTAAATTTACTGATAAGAAAAGAAAAATAACTGATAATAATTATCTCGGTGTTATCTGTTCTCAAGCGCAAATTACGTTTTAAATAATAACAGTTATACGCGTATTGAGATGACATAAAGAAACGGAAACAAAGATGAATACACAAAGTGGAATTCCCAATATGCGATAACTTAGTCATTTGTGGGAGTCGCATACTTGGTTAATTGTCATTTCTACCGAAACGACTATGATCTCAACATCTTTTTTCCTTTTCGCTTATTGTAACCGCCGGCTACGGTATAAATGAATTGTTATCGGTAATGATCAGATAACGGAAATAATAAATCAATGATTCGAAGCGTCGAAGAAGCGTAAAAAATAGTTTAGAACCCGAGGTAAGCGGATGTCTGTAACGATGTCAACTGATGCTATGAAAAGCTTTGCTCAATCCGAAAATAGATCAGGCGTCTGTTACGAAACCAGGTCATTTGAACGCTTCGACCAAACTTGTAGTTATTAAACAGTTGCGCAGTTATTCGCGAAAGAAAAACTTCGCTTTTATCTCCAACGCGTAAAGAAACGTACTCCTCGGGTTTCGGCGCTAGTTGGCGGTTATCCACGTGATCGCCTCCTAACCAATCGGAATGGCCAATTCCCTCGAAGGAAATCGGTATTTGCACGTGACGCAAAGCAGCCAATTAGACGGTGGAAGATGCAATGCACGAGTGATTCTGCAGTCGGTGTTAGTTGGTTGTGATGGTTGTATTATATTGTAGCTTTCGAGTTGAAAAAACTTCGATCCTCGTTAAGTGTGGACAAAGGTGAATAAATTGCCCATGGGAGATAGAAGGTGGAAAATGGTGCGTGGAAGGCATATATTAACAAGAAGTAAGTGACGTTTACCATTATAATCGATGAACTATAATGCGAGTGCTTTCTAAAGTTTTGAACAGTTTTAAATGTTGATGATGAAAGACCGGACAAACAGGTGTTGGTATCATCTTTATTTATTTCTTGTTTGGGGTGAAGGGCCCCGCCCTGATCATATGCACAGGAAATGCAATACACAATCTTTCAAATTTACTATCAATTTTAATTTTTCATACCTTCTACTTATTGTAATCTTCCGCCAAAGCAGTCCTGTTTAAAAAAACTTATCCATTATCTTCCTCTTACACAAGTTTAGTAGGTTAATTTTCTCATTTATTACCGATATCCTCAAGTAGTGGACAAGTCAATTTTTCTCCATTCTTAACCTATAGTATGGAAATATAAAAACTTCCATACGATTCCTAATCTAAATCAACTTTCCTTACAAATATTTATAAAATTGTTCTTTATACAAGTATATAAGATAGAAAGAAATTTAAATGATTAATTCTTACTGTTCCATTCAGACATTCCTTTACCATTGAGTCACGTTCTGCCAACCTTGACTGCTTTCATGAACATCTCAATAGTAGTTCTTTACGTGTACTTTGACAGTAATTTATAACATATTGTATATATGTTAAAATACATTTAATTGTCAACGAGTTTTATGATATCTTATCCACATTAAAATATATATAGTTGGAAATGAAATAAACTTTATCAACATGTTTGATTTTAATCTCGGGTTGTCAAATGTAATGCTGAGGCTAAACTCTTTCCTCCCAACATTTTTTTTTTTTTAAATTATTATTTTAATGAGGCATTTCATTACATTATTAATGAACTGTAATTAAAATAAATTTCATTCACTGAAAAGCAAAATTTTTCAAATGCTTCTGTAGTCTATTTTAACAATAGCACTATTAAATTTATCATCACAATTAAGATAAACAGATAAGGTTAATAAAAATTTTCAAATATTTAATTGGGTTTTTATGGTTTTTATTTTTACAATTGTTGATATTATTGTTGTTAAATATATAATAAAGCTGAAATAATTTATATATTTATTTTGAGATAAAAATGTTTCTAACAGGAATTAGACCTATGGAATTACATGCATTGTATTTTTCCTGTTTTAACTGTAATAAAAGAAGAAGAAGAAGAAAGAAGGAAAAAAAAAACAGGGAAATAAAAGAAATGGTTACCCTAATTCTAAATTATGTTAAATATCCATCAATGTTTTATTCCTTCATGCGCTGTTTGTAAAATGCTGCTTGCTCATGAAGGGATAAAAGCCGGAAAACTTTAAAAATCTATACAGCATGAAAAATAAATCAGCAAAACGTAATATAAATCAGCTCAAAGTAATTCTTTGAGCTGATTTATATTAATTTCTTTCAACATAATTTCTGTTTAATTAACGTGTGAAAATTTTGCACTATTACTACAAGTGTGAAATTGTCATTGTAGACCTAATTCTATAGTGTAACAGAGTAGAATTACATTTGATTATACAGTAAATTTATTCTTGTTCTAAATTATATGTTTTTTTTTAATCATTAAAATATAAGTAGGCCCTATATAGAAATATAGGTTTATGANATAGTCTACTTATATCAAATATTTGATATATTAAATTTTTATTGCTACTTAAAAAAGCTGTAATTTAGTGATTCCATAATATATAAATTCATTTTAGGTGAATATAACTGGGATTGTATTTTAAGATGTATTGGTAAAATACATTAAAGGTATCTTCACTGTATATTAAATATTTTTAACTTTCTTAAGGATATAGACAATTAATTTTTTAAATACAATTTTGACATAGTATTCTGACTTTGAACTTTTTAAATTTTGACATAGCGTACTATTAAGTAAATTTCTTAATGTGAATTTCCTAACACGAATTGATCAATAGTACTGTTTTTGGGATGGTTTGACTAACTGGATTATACAAATTATAAAGATTTTATACATCATAAAGGAAAAATGTATTTAGAGAAAAATAAAATATATAGGCATATAAAACAATTAATATGTTACGTTGATCATTGATATAACAAATTCTATAATAATAGTTTATCAAAAGATAACTTATAGAATAATTGTGTTTTTTAAATATTTCTTTTCCAAAACATTTTAATATGAAAGTGAACTTAAGGATTCTTGTTAAGGATTATGTATTTATTGGATTTTTGTACTTCAATTCAGATGCCTATGAATTAATCTATTATTATTTACTAATTAAATTAACATTTACTCTTACATTTTAACTAGAATATATTAATGATAGTAATCAGTAGAATTTATTTAAAGTATTTTTAAAATTATGATTAAAAAATACTTTTAAACAAGAAAAAAATTAACAGAAAACAATGTAATAAATATTATTTGATAAGATGTAATGTTTTTAAAAAAATTGATATTCTGTAAAGGCTAAACTTAATCTGTATATAATCCAATGCTTTCAAAATTACCAAATTGAATGATTAGTTTAAAAAATTTTTTATTTATAGAAATACAGTAAGAATTAATGAGTTGCAAATAGTTAATTAGTAGAGAATATATCAGAAACAAATGTTTAAGATACTGGCAAGTTCAATAAAGAAAATAATTGATAATTTATAAGAAACATATAGGGTTGAATGTTCTAAGCAGCGGAAACGGAATCNAGTACTAATAAGAAATTTATTCTTTATTAATACAAATTTGATCAAATACAATAAAACAAACAATGTGTTTGTTTAACTGATTAATGCAAAGCATCAGTATATTGCAGGCTATATTCATGGCCAAAATTATATCCATTACAGGCATTTGACATGTAGAGTGATTCTCTGACTAGAAGACCCAAACACTGATCACATTTCTTTATATAGTGAGAGTGTACCAAAAATGATATGAAGAGCAACTATCATTACACACTGCTGAATTAGTTTAGAAACACTTTCTGTTCAAGCTAAAAATGGATGCTGTAATCCATTCTTTAATTCCAGTTACAACAAAATGTAGTGTTGTAGTTAAAGAACTACAATATAACAAATAAAAAAACATAAAGAATTGAGTATTTCTCTTTCTGAAAATATGAACAAAGTAAAGAAACAGAAGATAGATAATTATGTTCAAGTTATAGTATTTTCCTATTTTTAGATAACTTTCAGAGTCATTTTAGAAAATTTAATCCTTCTTAATCTTTCCATAATATTTTTATCAACAGTCACTTCGACTTTTTTATTTTGGCAGCATATTGTATTATTTACATTAGCATCCATTTTACTTTATACAATTTATATTCTCTATAGTATTTAATAAACAATAATTGAGAATTGTAAAAAATAAGTAATGATTGGCCATGGATTCTATTTATTCATTATTTTACTAATATAAGGAGTTTATCATTTATGTAAACAAATTCTTTACATTCTTGTTCATTATTTACAGATTTATATTAGCAACAAAAATATTCTATAATTCTTTCAATATTTAGCTAGAATTATATAACTAGCATTACCAATTTTAATTTTAAAAGTAAGATTATCAGGATTTTTATAAAAACATTGAATGTTATATAGTTAAATATAACTAATATTATAATATTCAAATTAACTTGTCTTTAGTTTTAGATAAATTTGCTTTTATTTACTTAGTTTATGATATTTTAACTTAATTATTAAAATGCTTCTTTTGAAACTTATTACTTTTAATCTCTAGTACCAAGTTTTGTGCTAAAATGTTGTAGGATAATTTAACAGGTGTTTCTTTTCTAAATTTAGATTTTCAAAAAATTTTTGAAGACATATTTGTTATTTGAGAACTATAGATTTAGAATTGATAGCAAAATATGCTAAAAATAATTTACAATGTTAGTTTGTCATAACTCTTGAATTTATCTAAATAAATTTGACTTTTTTTAAATTACAAATGTTGTTTCTCATCTGTTTAGATTAAAAATAGAAACAGTTTTATCAACAATTGCATTGTAGTTTTGCCAAGTGTGCAATTCATTTTTTCTGCTTAACTTTATCTCATACTTGCTAGACCATAGAATGTCTGCTTAGAGACTTAAATTGACATGCAGTTTTTATATTCATTTTATAATTGATTTCATTTGTCTTTGATAGTAGCCAGTATCTTAATCCTAGATGAGTACAGTTCCACAATCATTACTTGAATATTGTGGAGTGTGTGCCATCCCATATGGTATGGTTTGTTTTATTTCCCCAAAAGAATTATTTCTGCTTTATTATGATATATTATAATAGGGTGTTTCAAGTATAATAAACAAAACAAAAACAATAAGAAATGAAAATTTATTTTTTTTATCTTTTAATGTAAACAAACAAACCTTATGTAAACATTAACATTACAAAGCTTTTCTTTTTTCATTGTATGGCAAGTTGGACAAAACAACACAGTAAATTTTACTTTTATATTTATATTGCATATACAAAACTTGACCAAAAAAAAAAAGAAAAACTGTTTTTAGGGAAATTAAATATCACTATATCTGAAAAATGTACACTGAGTATTGAGTGTGGCCAAACAGTCTAAAATGTAGAAATAATATTTCTTGCATCTGTAGCTTTGGCTATCTATTAGATGTGCAAAAACTCATCAAAAAATGAAGATTTTTCAGTGAAACAATAAAAATATGAAAGAACATACTTAACATGGTATGTGTCATTTACTCCATGTGAATGTGTTTTATTTTTGATCTAATAAATAAATTAATTTTTGAGTCATATTTTGATATTTAATTATAAGTTGTTTTATCTACATATCACAAGGCTTATATAACAAAAAATGAAAATTTAATCATTTCTAAAGCAAAAATGTAGCATTTTATGATCTTTATGCCATCAATTTTTTTTAATCTTCAGAGTAAGTGCTGCATGTAATAATGCAGAACTTGCATTACAAGTATTATGCTTGCATTTCATACATACAATTTTTGTTTAATGATCTTTCCCACTGGGGCATAAATTATTTTGCTCGTCTATTGAGGAGACAAAGTTGTTTTACATGAAATGAATTGCTTTAACAGGTATATCTTCTTCATTATTGACATAAATCAATCTATTTGTTGCCATTTACTTACTAATTTTTACTTAAAATTTTTTGAAATTTTTAAAATTTATATTGCATGAGTATTTGGTTATGATATACACCATAAAAAGCTCAAATCACTAAGTGAATCTACTCCATGTACATGTAATGTTTGCTACTTAATTTATTGCTGCTTGATAAGAAATGTGAGGAAAGTGTACTGTTGCCAGAAAAACAAAACAAAAAAAAAAATTAAAAATAATACTTTTTATGGGGTGGTTCATACCTCATTATACTCATCCAGAGTTAATAATGCTTAAATATGTATAACAAAATAAACTAATTTACGAAGCAATGTCCCAAGGAGATAACAAATGATTTACTTGCTACTTATTGTGTAAGGAATAATAAATTAAGCTTGTAAGTCTACAATGCTTATACACAGCAATGAAGAGTCTTACTTATCTACCTACAAAAAATTCAGATAAAGATGCTAAACAATTTTTTATGGAAAAAACACTCAATTTTCAAAATCTGTCTAATCAAAATCATATTACTGCTATTAGAAAGCTAGATTTTTTGTTTTATAAATTCTTTGTTAAATGTAAATTCTGCAAATGATAAGTAATATCTTAGGTGTTTTTCCATGTAAATTTCTATGATAATTATAAACTGTCTTTTTGTGTTATAAAATTAAAATTTAAAAAAAGTAAGTAAAAACCAAA